TTGGGTCCAAACACCTCTGCCTGTGCCAGTGGTTTGGTGCTCAGCCCTGGAGCACGCAGCTGCCCCGCGGGCTGCGTGTGGCCATGATAACCCCAAACCCAGGGTGCCACTGTGAAGAGGAATCCTCAGCTATGAGAGAGAGATACTTTCCATTTTCAGCTCCATGTCATACGAATGGAAATTATGCAACTTGCTCAGGCTGCTGCAGTTTGGGGCTGTGCATTTGAACAGGAACATGGGAGCTGTTTTCTGCTTCCTGTGTCTGAAAGCAGTGCAAACACCATCCGGGCCTTCTGAAGTGCTACTCGCTGAGACACTCCTTCTTTAGGAAAGCGATTCGGGAAGAACAACAAAGAATTCTCCCTTGTAGAAAAGGTTGTGGCTGCTTTGCCAGCTCTCAAAATTAAAACTGTGTTCCAGTCAAAAATGCCTATTCATGCTGACATCAAAGAGAAAAATGCGAGCAGGTCAGGGAGTTTAATTTCCATGGAACTTCCATTTGTGATTCACATGTCGGGGCGCAGTAATGGCTTACATGCCCATTGGCAATAATGGAGTAGAGGGCCAGCACAAAGGGACACAAAGGGAAAGGATCCCGAGGTAGCAGTGACAGGAAGGAGCCCCTTGAAGTGGGGTGGTGTCACTCGGAGCACAGGCTGCTGGTCTCTCTCACATCAATGACAACCTTGTGGAGCGCCCTGGCCTGGCTTGAGGCTTTTGGGAATGATGCTCATGGGGGCCCTGATGCCACAGGGCTCCTTTTCATTGTCTAGAGACCAGGTCCTTTTAAATGCCCTGAACATAGTGGGTGACTCCCAAAAATCTGGGTTTCAGGGGATATTTCCTAAATCCTTTGAGGTGTGGTCTCATACCAATTTTGTAACTTCTCAAAATCTCCAGTCCAGGTGAAGGGCTGTGTCATGAGGTTTGAAAGCAGGAGGTATGTAAACCTTTTAACAGTGTCTGTATATTCTTCTACTACTCCTTATTTGCTTTTCTCATGGGACAATCCTAGTAGGCATTACACACTGTTGATAAATAGATTTTCAGCCCATTTCATTTAACCATTACTGCATTTCCATATCAAAGATTTTACACTTGGCATGCCTGAGCTTATTTCATTTGTAATCTATTCCCAAATTAGGAGTCTGGAATGTTTTCTTCATTATGTGTTTCATCTGCAATGTACTGCCCTTAAATTATTTTTTAAGATGAGATCTTATACACTACCTCAAGTCATTGTACAACTCATTGGCTCTTATTTATTCTGGCCTCCTAATCTAACACCATTTCTGTGTTGAAACTTGTTGCTATTTTTTTTTCCAAGGATACACCATAGGATGTTAAGCTTGTGCTCTATATCAAAGTGCAAATATAAACTAGTTGGTAGTCTCTAGTCACACCCTGGATAGGTGTGGCATTTGAGAATTTTTCACTTTCTGGCTGGAGATCAGAATGTGCTTAACATGGCTCCACACACAGGATCTTGGTTGGGAGAGAACTGGTTGGGGCTTTTTGGGTTTTGGGTTTTGGGGATGGTGCTTTTTTAATTTTTTTTTTTTTTTCATGTATGTTGTTCGAGGGGTTGGGAGCTGAATAGTTGTACTGTTTCCAGAAACAGATTTTTACATGTTTGGCTATATTTAGAGCTGCAATTTGGAGATTTGAGGATATGATAACCCAGTGCCTCACTGTCTTTTCTTTTCTCTATCACTTTGTGATGGACAAGCTTGATTCTAGTGTCAGCCTAAGGCATGCTGCAGGGCTGTACCACTCCAAGAGAAACTCCAAGGAGGAAGTATGACTCAGAGAGCTGCAATTCCTTCTACAGTTCCTCCTTGTTCCAACCAGGGAATTAAGTTACTTCGGTGTTTTAGCTGCTAGACTAAAGCTTGCTTCTCCCTGGTGCTCACAAGCCTCATCTTGCAGGACAGAAAGAAGAGGGATAAAAAAGGCCTTGTGCCAGGATGAGGTGCCACCAGCCTGTGAAATGGTGGCACCATTTGAGTCCCATGGGGGGTTTCACTGTGGGCAGTCACCTGCCAACCACCCACCTTTAACAGCAGGAGCAAACCACCCGCTTTCTTATACTTACAGTCTGGCAGAGAATTTGCAGGTAATCAGCTTTTCACCAAAACAGAAACACTAACTGGGGCATTTCTGGTGAAAATGCTCAAAATCAGTATTTCCTCAAAGGTAGTGCAACTCCGAGGCTTGAGGACATCCACTGATGTAGGATCTGTTTGCAAATGGTGCATGTGACTCCTTCACCTGCCTGACATTCTGCTCAGCATCAACATGCTCCAGAGAAAAACATAAAATAATAACAACAATCATGAAATTCACAGTCTATTTTTGAATATGCTTTTTCATGGATGGCAGAAATGCTGTACAATGGAGGGGTCTTCAACTGAGCAGGAAAATACTGTGGTAACTGAGACAGTGTCAGCTGAGAGCACAGACTAAATGCTGCAAGATAAAAGGGGCCAGGAAAACAAAGAAATTTATCCATATGTACAACAGCTAGATGATCCAGTTAGGAATAAGACCTTGTTATTAAACCCTCTAGGATTACCAGGGATAAGTTTTCAGGAAGTATTTTGCAGTTAAAAAAAAACCAAAACCAAACCAAAACCAACAACAAAAAAACAACGAAGCAAAACCAGGAGCAAGAATTGACTTCAGAAAACAGATCTGGCCCTCATGTGGTGTTCAGCAGCACAGATACACACACTCACACTTCCTGCCTGAGTTATATAAAAATAGCCTGTGAAAGAAGATTCAGGCTATTGGAGCAACTTCTGCTTTCAGCAAAGTGGACTGAAACATGGAGCTGAATTTACACCTCCATGTGTGATTTGACATACCCACATGCATAAAGCTCATCCTTCTGCTATGAGCTCTGAATGACATCAGCGCTAATTCACCTGGGTACCTGACAGAGATCTCCAGAGAGATAATAGAAAGAGAAACAGCATTCACTTGAGCTGGTCTTTATTCCTACACCAAAAAAAAAAAACAAAACCCAACCAAAATATGTAAATGAAGCCTGCAGTTCAAACATGCAAAAGTTGTTTTTGTTTTGCATCAGTTTATTCAGGTATTTTAAACAGACTTAGTTAAAATAATCAGTTGTGCCTTTCTGACAACTTTGTAAGAAAGCCTTATGTGGCTAATTTTTAAATATCATCAGACAGCAGGCTAATTGTGTCCTGGTGCACATTGTTGCCACACGTTGCAGATAACTTCCTGTGTTGAGGTGATGACCTGAGAGCAATATCCTCGTAGACAAGGAAATATCATCTTCCAGTCCTGCTGGAAGACTTGTGAGAACTCCCTTCAGCTATCTGCCTGTGCTTAGTCAAGTTATTAGGCACATTCAGGATGCATTAAACTCATACACTTTCTAAATTGCTGTGTGGGTTTGAGTTCACACAGCCAGCTGATTTAGTCATACCTCTGGTGCTAACAAAATCAGAATATACTGGACCTGCCAGGAGTGTTGCCTGTGTAGGTATGTAATAAATGTGCTTCAATGTGTTTAATCATATAGATGTGCAATGGGCACCTTTACCACCTTCTGTAGTACCTATCCTGTTTTCAGCGCTCAGCCATATCCCTTTTGACAGGGGATAATACTTTGGAAGAGCAAACATTCACATTTCTGAACACATAATCAAAAATATGGCAACAGAGCCATTAGTGAACCAAGGTATATACCCTTTTGAACAAAAGTAAATTTAAAATAATTCCATTAAGTCAAGTCAAGGGAGAACTTACTCTCCCTGGTAAGTAACATAATACACTTGGCTGTATGATTCACTGTGAACAGTTCAGTGAAAATGTTATCTGTTTTGTACACCCTTCCTTTTTATTTTCTCCATATTCCTCTTTCTCTTCCTCATCCCCTTTTTAGCCTTTTCTGCCTTGTGATGCCACACAGAGAAGACCTAAGAATCAGAGTAAGACAGAGTGATAAAGGATAAAAACAAGCCACTGCTGGAAGTGCAGGAGATGGTGAAATACCAATAACCCATGTTGATATCTGACATGGCTAGCAAAAGAAAGGCTCATTTCTTTTTGTCTGGGTTCCTGAGAGTGCCCCTTGCCTGCTCCATTGTACAGTATTGCCCGGATAAAATGCAGCTGCAAGAGGGAAAAGGTGACACTGATCCTGCTCTAAATAGGAGTCAGTGCTGTGGTCTTCACTGCAGTGCCTGAAAGGATGACATACTGTTGCTGCTGCAGGACAAAGTTCATGGAATATCAAGTGTTGATAGTCTGTGCTCAGAGTCTGTAAATGTATGTACAAATAGGTCACATCCACAGCTGGCATCTGTCTGGCTCTAGATCTGGTCCAGTGAGTTTCTAAAGAGTAGTTCACGACAGACCATTGAAAACTTCCAAAGAAAGTCCCAGGGCACATGACAGAAATGGCCAAGTGGGACAGCACAGTAGAAGAAAGAAATCCTGTGGGTTCATTTCTTTAAAGCATAGAAGTCATTAATCATTTCTATTCCTTTCCTTTTGAAACAGCTGCCTGCCTGCATTTGCTAAGTAACTGCTTTCTAACCACACAGCAACTAAGTTGTGGGGCCCAGAATGCTCATGCTTCCAGATATTAATAAACAATTTCCCTCCTTCACTGTGTCAATGAAAGCACGTTAACATCTGGTTTTGGTAGGGAAATAAAATGCTGATGGTTCCACGCTTTATGAATTCCTTCCCCCCAAAAATCTTTCTTACTGCTTATCTTCTCAAGTGAGGCTCCAGAAGCTCAAAAGCTCGGTGTGAAAAATCTCAGTGGCCTTCTACCTGTCACCTGCGGTTCAAGGATGTCGCTCGTTAGGAAATTGAGAAAACCATCTCTCCAGTCGCGCTCGCCTGCTCATCTTCTCGTGGAAGTGAGCGACATTTCCCACGTCCGCCCGTTCCCTGCAGCGGTCCGCAGTTCTCCCGGCGGGCGGCTGCAATTAGCGGAATGCCAGCCAGCAGGTGGAGACGCACGAAAGCAATCCCAGCCTGCCTTGACACCGCATTCCCACAGCCCCGGCCAAGCGCTCCGAGGGGCCAGAGCCAGAAAATATCGCTATTGGCTCCGTGGAAAAGTTCAGAGCTAAAAACCTTGGATTGCTGACAGGACATGTGACGGAGCAGCCCCGGCTGAGGAGCCGTCCAGCACCTTTCATGTCTCAGTGAGTCGCGGAGGGAGGGAGGCTGGGGGCTGACTCTGGCCTGACCTTGGTTCATTCAGTGTGTTCAGCAGCTCGGAGCTGCCTGTCAGCATCAGCTGTGCCGGGAGATGCGGGAGCCACACGCGCGGCTCCGGGCCGGGCGCGGTCCCGGCCAGCCTCGGCTGCGCGGCCCCGGGGCTCCGCCGCCCCCAGACCCCCGAACACATCCCCACCCTTCGGCTGCAAAAGTGCAGCCCGGGACGGTGTGAAAACAGCTCCGCTTCCTCTCTTTAGCTCACAACTCCTCCCACCCAGCGTTTCCTCTTTCGGAGTGGAAACGCCATTGTGATAGCTATTTCTGAAATGTCCCTGCCAAGATCGGGAAGTGCGGAGGGATAGAGGAGTGTGAGGAGGGGGACAAGGTAGCTTGGGAGTTATTCTGCGAGTGGGGAAGCTATCTACACGAGTTTGGGAGCAAATCCAGGGATAATTCTGTGTCATCTTCAAGCCAGTGGTTAAATTTCTAGCTCTAATCTCCCTAGAAATGATAAGAAACTGCAGTGCTGGGTCTGCAGAATACCTGATGTGAACTGATTGACTTCGGTGGAAATAGGCACACAGTGGAGCCAAACCTAAATGACATGCCACAGAATGCTGGCAGGCCCTTCTCTTGCACCAAAAATGATTGCTCAGGCTGTGAAAGACAAATTTTAAGTGACAGCACATGTCAGCATCTACACATAGGTATGGTAGGAAAGAGAGAAGGAGATGGTATAAAATCAGGAGAGCTTTGAAAATCACAAAAATCACCTGCAAAGATTTTGAGAGATTTCAGTGTTTGAACACATGATGCTCTGTCAAATTATGTTCATTGTGGAGACAGCTGAAAATACAGTGTCTTGTTTTACAGCTCCAGACACCCCCCCCCCCCCAACTCTTCATCATTTGCGGTAAGTTTACTGGAGCTTGTTAATTTTCCTTTAAATGAGAAAAGCTCTTCATATTTTGAAAATCCAGTTTCAGTGTTCCAAAAGAAATATGTCTTGAAGCTTTTCCATCCCCTTGGACTCTTCTCCTCCCCCTCCACACTGCCTCTTGCACTTTTGTCTTTGGAGAGCAGAGTTTAATATGCTACTGAGGAGATAGCCTGCATGCAAAATCCCTCAAACATAAACACACTTCAGGAACAGATTCACCCCACTGTGCTTCCAAATGTGGAAACCAACATTCCATCTGCACCCTTATCAGCTGGTCAATAACTGGGAAGTTGAATGAACATTCCTTAAAATGAAGATTATGAAAACATACATTACTGCTCAGCAGTGATTCCCCAGCTTCCCAGCTCTCTCTGCTCAAGAGCAGTTGAGCTCAAAGTGGCTCAGGCTGGGGACTTTGAGAATGCCGTGCAGGAATTTGTCACACTGAGCTGCAAAATTCTCTTCAGGTGACCTCTCTGGTGGTTAAGAAGCCCTGTGTTCATTCAACTCAGGTATTACTCTGCATTTGCTGTCTTTTTAAAAGTTTGTTGTATCTTACCTTATAAATTATACATCATTATAAGAGATGTTTTTTAAAACCTGTCTCTGATTTTCCACTCAGGTTTGCAGCATTTAGATGATATCAATGACTTCTGAGCTGTCACCCTGACAGAAAAATCAGAGGCTATGTGAGCAAGCTTGTCACACACCCTGCCTGGTGATAAAGCTACTTATCACCATTATTCTTTGACCTATTTTTTGGCTTGTAAAATGACTGGGTGTAAATTCCCAGCCAGAAACTGAAGATATTGTTTATTGATCTATTGTATAGGATTGCCTTGAAAGAGTTAGCATTTGTCTTAGGTGACTCACAGATTGCTCTGATGATGGATGTGTGCTTTGGTTTGCTCTTAGTGCATCTCCTTTGCTCTCTATGTCCATATACATCCATAAATATATTATATGTATACAAAATAATTGGTTTGCTTTCATGACATACCCTTTAGACAAATCCTTTGATTTCTATGGGGGATTGTTTTTTAAAGAAACACTGTTAGTTCAAGCAAAAGCTACTGAGGCAGACAGAAAGAAACGACCAAAAGTATTTGAAGTAGAGGACAGTTTATTACTTAGGGCAATGGGATAAGGGTGCAGGAGAGTGGAAATTCAAGTGCTGAATCATGTGGACGTGCTTAGTTTGTAGTTCGTAAATTGTTTAATCTATGTGGTGACTCAGTTCCTTGTTTATGACAGGAGGACAAAGCTTAACAGCCTTGTTAATAAAATAAAATCTATGAATCCATATTAATTAATATGGACATGAAGGTGATGGCAACTTACTCAGAACTTACCCAGTTTATCTATTCCAGCCAGACCTTGCTGCTGGATGTAATTTTGCATCCTGCCTTAAACAATATTCTGTTGAAGATCTCATAAAATGTTGGTCTCTGTGGTACCTGTTCAAACTAAAATTAGGTCCTCATTGGGTTGTGACATAAGACAACAAAATTAAATTGAAGATGTAACTCCACATGTACAGTTTTTGGGCAAAACACCAAAGCAGTTGTCCCAGAACAAAATAGGTCTTTAACAGAGAAGTCTTTGCACCAATCAAATACATTAATGAAGGAATACAATTCTTTGAAGGATCAGTTTGAAATGTATTTTGGAAGAACCTAAATTTGCTATACAAGTAGTGTTCAGCTGCAGGGTATGGATCCTTAAGATCTACTTCCAGAGAGTATCAGGTGCTATTTAACATTAAATAAGGGTTTTCTCTCAATCTGAAGTTCAATTGCCCGTATTTTCTCTATCCCACCCTTAGTTTCCTGAGTCACAAGGATGTATCTTGTACCTGTATATTAATGGCAACATTTGGTTTATGTTACAAACCTCTCTTCCCACAAGTACGTGGTGGTGTCATGTAGAACGCACATTCCCATAATCATTTCATATGTTTTCAGTCTTATAAATAAAGTTTATATAATGAAAATACAATATAATTATACACATGGGAGTTCTGGTTTGGAAGAGGTTCAGCAGAATTCTTTGATAAAACAAGCCCCCGACCACAAAAGCTGCATGCAGTGATTTGACAGTCAAACATGTATAATCACTTACTCTAAATTAAAGGCAGTGTCACCACAGTAAGAGCAGCACACTGAAATCCCTTCTGTCACTTTTGGCCAGCAAGTGACAAATACTGTAAACCTAACCAAAATGTATCTTTGAATAAACTTTGAGGAACTTTTTCAAAAGGTCCTTGGGGTGGCGGGTTATATAAGGAAATGGGAGCCCAAAATATCTTTTTATACAGGGTTATTTTATTATACTAATTGACCTCTCATCAGCCTGGTCCTTTTTTATTTTTTCTTTTTTGCTTTGCACCAATTTCTAGTACCCAGAAAAGGATAATTTTCTTTTTTTTTTTCAGAGGAAAAAATCATCTCATTAGGCAGAACAGAGATGTCAAAATCTGTGAAGTACAACATCCTGTGGTTAGGTGGGACTTGCAATTTGGTGTTCCTGCCAATATCTCTCCCCAAAGCACATTAACCCTTTTTCACTCCACCAAAACTGCCCCTTTGAGCAGAAAGTTCGTGGGCAAGATGCTCCATGGGTACAGAATTTTGCAGCTTCTCTGAGAGCGGCAGGATGATTCTGATTTACACCAGATATGGATCTGGTTCACAGCATGTCTCAGTCTGAATTCACAAAGCGTGGAGTAATGTGAAACAAGGAAGTGACTTTTGTGAAAAGCATTTTGGAAAGGAAAACCAAAGATGATGGATGTACCACAGGGGCAGAGGGAGTGGAGCCTGCCTCAAAGAAGACCTTGTAGAGCTGCCAGCCTTGCCACAAAATGGGCTGCTGCCCTCAGAGAGGAGGGGAAGGTTTCTCCAGGACAAATGCAGCCACACCAAGCACCCTAATAACCACTTTGTAGATATTTTTATGTACCGTCACATCAAAACCAGACAGAACTTCCAAAACATTTGAATTTGACCCATCACTTTTTAATGGAAGGAGGAGAAGGAGAATGGGTGGGAAGAATAGTCATTGTGAACTGCCATAACACTGGGCAGCAAGCCATGCTATTCAACAAATGAGACAATACATTAAAAAACAAAACTCTGTTTTCAGGGGCCTTCTATATATATCAAGAGCTAGATTCACAGACCACTGAAGTTAATGGGAATCTTTCCTGTGACTTTAACCAGCTACTGGCCCTGCTATTACAAAAGAGGAATTAATATAAGTTTGCACTTACTTAGTGTCTCGATTAGAAAATTGCAAATATTACATCAGGAGTTAGTTGCTAATTGAATCTAGCTAGTCAGAATGCACACTCATTTTGCTCACCTGTCTGTAGTGTATTTTATTACTGGAGCTATTAGCATAAGCCAGTAGCAGAAAAAAGATTTTTTAAAAGACAAAAAATGCACATGATGGCAAGAAAAATAGTTAATAATTTGTGTTCCACCTGACATTTAAAGCTCTGCAAACATAATTAGTTGGGGTTGGAGGGGGGAAATCTGATTTTCAAATGTTGGATACCTTTTTATAGCTTCTTTCTGTTTCTTTCCCTCTGGAAGCAATTAGTTCAATTATATTACAAACCTTATGTCTTCAGCTATGCAAGTGACCATATTGCCATTCCAGTTAAATGTGCAGCAGTCCTTTGTGAGGAACAGGATTGTTCATTTCCATAGGAATTTAGGATGGGGAGAGTAAATCATCCTCTTCCTGATCTAACTGTGCAAATGGAAAAGGTGACCCTCCTCCTTTTGCCATGACTTTGTTGGAGGTCCTGCCTTCACCAATCTGCTGGCAAAGAGGGCAGGATGAAACTTTCCAAATTACTTAGCTGTGCAAAGTTAAATTTTCAATCTAATTAGGGGAATTAATTTCTCCTGGGAGCTGTAACAAATTTTACCCAAGTTAGCTCATCAGGAAAGACTGAGCTGTGAGGGTACCTGGGACAACTTGCTGTTTCCACAGGCAAAGAGGGGCAGTCATCAGAGAAATGGAAAAACAATTCCT